AAATCCACAATAAACTGTCTATTTGATATTTAAATTACATTTATTATACTGCTTACAGGGTTTTTTAATGAGTATATATATATATAGATTGTACGTTTGAGACATATTTAACAATTTTTTAAATAAAATAGATATTTTTAAATTCCAAAAAATGAATTCGAAGGCGCTTTCTTTTTATCTAAATTTACTGGTAATTAATTATATAATATATATTCGCAATATTAAATCCATGGGGATTTAAGAATATCTCAACTAAATTATTTACTAAGAGTAATTTTTAAATTTGCTGTAAGTGAATTCGAGCATGTGCCACAACATCTTATTCTAAATCTCGGACAATTTTCTTCGTATTTTTGTGGATTTTTTTAAAATTTATACGGTTAAATAAATTTAAAAAATGAATATAAAAAGTATTTTAAACTGTAATTCACATTGTAGGTGTACTAGACTTGCTGAAATATATTTTCGGGCAAGTCATATCTTTTTAAATTTAAAAGTAGTTCTCAACAAATATTTAAAGTTGACGGATTCCAAATCTCCGTGGATTCCAGAACTCGATACGACATACTATATATAACTTATTATGATGATATTAATCGTTAAAATAGGTTTTAATAGGCACAACGATGATAGTAGCTCATCCCGTTATATATCACGATCTTGAACATATGGACCCGCCCACACTATACGATGCTGATAGTCCCTTCAACTTTTTCTTTGGACCTATATCCCCAGGCTATCAAAAGATCAAAGATTTGTATGGATTAAATGAATTCGATAATGCGCCCATCATATATTATCATAAAGAAGAATATTAGTGCCCATAGTTTTTACTTCGTCAACAATGTGTGACAATTTTTAAAATAAAATAAAATATTGAATCAAAGGCTAAAGCGATAAAAAGGTGTGAAATATTTTTCTTGGAAGGGCCAAGGGTCTGTTAGCAAATTATAAAAATCATCGTGAGTTGCGTAAAATTTTCTTTCCATCTAATTTAAGAAGTTCTATGTTGGTTCTCGTATTATGAATCCCCCCCAAAGCAATTTCTATCACTTCTCGTCTACTAATCTAATCCCCATTATTTATTTTTGAATAAAGGAAATTATTTAAATTTTTCATCACATCGGATACTCTAAAAAAAATTCACTAACAATTTCTCCAACTTTAACGGGTGTGCTAAATATTTTTATAAAATCTTTGTTTAATATAATATTTATAAATTTGAATTTTAAATTTCTAAAAATCCATATAGTAAATGATAGTAACGAAGCTTGGATAAAATTTTAATTATAATTATTCCAAATATTTAACATTTTAAACAATTGTAAAATCTAACATTCAAGTCCCCAAAAACCTTACTTGGATATTCAACTTAAAGAACTTCATCTAAAATATTATCGTCACTTTTTTTTGATACCAATAAATCTGTGATCAAATTTACTCTCTCAAATTTTGAGATCTGTAAATTGTAGATGTGCTTAATTATTATAACTTAATTGAGATTTTAAATATTTTGTTCACATTATTGGGTCGAATTATTTCGCGATGTTTTTCTTTGTAAATCCTTATTGTTTATCTATATAATTTCAATGTTTCAGAAGTAATTAAATTGTATGAGCAATTTATTTTTTTTTTCAATTTAAAAAAAATATTCAAACCAATTTCGTTTTAAAAAAAATCAGTTTATGTATGTTTCCATAAGTTTCCTAGCCACAATATGTTTTATTTTATTTAAATATTATATTGGTTAAGGTGGGATGGGGGAGGGTGTGCAAGTTATTTAGAGTTATTCTACATAAAATCTGAAAATAATTATTTAAAAATAAATATTCAATAAATTTTTTAAAACTAAGATTAAAACTGCAAGTTATGATGATTTTACCTGACAAATCATTTTAGAATAGCGCATATTTACTAAGAAAATATATCTAGAAAAAATAATTAATAATTGAAGTAAATGGTTATAGATAGATGATTTTGCCTTCTATTTTTATTTTTATCTCGATTATTTTATGAGACTATGACGATTGTTCTTGCAATCCGAATCTTAGATTAGTAAAAAAAACAATCACTAATTTATATAAGAAATCGTAATTATGAGTTAAATTTTTTAAATCAAATTTCTATACATTTCTGTAAATATATTTATTATTACATTATATGGTAGATCTAATCAGAGTTTATTGCCCAAAATTTTGAGCAAAAATCTTTGAAGATCAATTAAATTTAAGATATTTTTTAAATAAGATCAATTTACAAAAATTTGTGATCTCTCCATATTGCAAATGATTTTTAAAATATTTTTTGTAATCGTATGTATGTTTTAAATAAGTTTTTCCTAAAACAATATTACTTTTGTTTATATTTTAGGGATATTTTTTATTGATATATTCTGTAAAATTTTAAAATTGTATTAGCATCAATTACGATTTCTGTCACTATGTTAAAATAAGTGAGATGATATGCATGTAGCGGTGAAAAATGATATATTATAAATATTGCCATTTTATTAGAATATTTGATAATAATATTATATAATTAAAATTATAAATTATTAATACATCTTCTAAATATAAATCTGTTAAATAAATTTAGAAAATAGAGTTCTTAATAATGGTATAAAATAAGGTAGTGCATATTTTACAGAAAGGATAAACTTGATTTAGAATTGACTAAATTTAGGACATAGAAATAATAAAATAAAAGAATATAAAAAAATTTAATAATTTCCAAAGGTGATAAAAATTAATGATTTGCATAGAACCTAATTTTTAAATCATTTCCCAGCCCGATCTCGATTTAATCTTTTTTGTTTGTCCTGAAAAGTCAGATTAAAATTTATTTATTACATTTTTATACTGAACATAATCGAGTATTTGACCATTCTACAAACAAATAAAAAATATTGACCCCTTGTTTCTTGCAATAATTTAAATCAATTTTATTTCAAAATATAAGCCCAATCCGGCTCGCTGAAATTATTTTAAAAATATAGGCACAAGATCTTTAATAATGATAACATTTCTTCCACAGTCAATCATTCAAAATATTAACTTAATACAAGATTATAAGATTGATTCTAAACAGCTAGCTCATAATTATAGAATCTCTTATAATAAATATAGAGTTATGGTGATTTGTAGATAACTTAAAATGGGGGGGGGGGCATTGCCGCTCCCGAAATAGGCTTATAATCGGGTCTGTTTCTTTATACTTTATACATATAATATACATTGGCGTACGCAGCGGGGGAAAGCAGGGGGGCAAATCCCCCCCTCCCCCAAGCCAAAAAATGCAGATGCCAGATATATTTTTCAAAAATATTTTTGTTTAGAGTGTTGTGCAGATTTAATTTAAACATTTCCATATTTTTTAATTCGTTTGTAAATAAAAATTTTAACTTGTAAAAATTGATAAGAATATATAAATATGTTATTTTAACAACTTTTTACAAGTCAAATAATTTTATTTTCAAATAAATTAATAAATATGGAAATGTTTTGAATTAAATTTACACAGTACATATTAATTTATATTTGTTAATATTTATTCCTATCTCATATTAAATATAAATTTAATTACATTTATTATCACATTCATAACTAAGTTAATCAATTAATTTCGATTTCAAGTTTTCCGGCGTAATATTATCTTATATTTTCAAATTTTTAGTGGCGTAATTTTAAAATTTCTAGTCAAATAATAATTATTCTGAAATTGTCCAACAGGGAAAAAGTAATTGCAATATGTCCTTCGAGATAGAGTATCCGCCATCAAGCAGTAACAGCTTTTATGGAGTAAGAAGAGCCGATTATTTGCTATTACTAACATAACACAATGGCCTGAAAGAAATTTTTCCTTAGAAGCAAGAAAATTATTGGATTCAATGCTTATTCCAAATTTTTTTTTTCATTAGAATGTACAACTATTTTATGTATTACTTTTCAAAAACATGATGACTTGATTAAGAAGATGAGAATAGCGGAGAGCATTTTATTAGAATTCAAGGAAATTAGGGCTAATGTTTATGAAGAATTTCATGTTTTATGTGTTATTGTTAAGTCAAAAGCAGTGCTATACATGTTTAATATTTGTCTCACTCTACTTGCAGGAAGGCAAGCTCATAGAAAACATTAATATAGGAACAGTAGAAGAGTATATCTTAGATACAAATACATTTATAAACCAAATAAATGAATGGTTTTTAATTCATTATGCAGCACTTACCAATCTGCAAATATTATTTCCATAAAAGCCTTCCCAACCTTTTTCAGATGGTGATAGAAAAAAAATATTTGTTGTATTTTTATCATGAAGATGTTAAAGTATCTTATGATGCCTTATTAGCTGAATAACTATGTTTATAAGATTAACTATGGTTGATACAGTCCCAAAAAATGCTATGGATGCTCTGCATTATTTCAAACACATTTTAGATTATATTCCCAATGTATTAAAAGGGTTTATATATATTAGCAACTCTTCTCAATAGTAAACTAATGAGAGAACATTCTCTTTTTTAAGAAGAATAACAGAGCCCTGCAGAGGTACCATTTGCAGGGCACTACCCGGATTTATTAAAAATATATTATATTTATTTTTGATTTTTATAGCTAATAATAACGATTTCAAATATAGGCTGTTTTAAAATATACAGTCCGGCCCGGATATTTAAAAAAATTTTCAAGCTGGCTGATTTTTTTAAAAATTCAAGCTCAGCCCGGGTGTTTTTTTAAAAAAATTTTGGGCCCGGCCATACGGTCCTGCAGCGTCTACATGACAGGATTTTCACTGGATGCAAACCCCCCTCAAAAACCTCAGCCTACCCCCCTAAAAAAATTTGCCGCCTTTGGCGGCAAATTTTTGAAAGAATAAATTATAATCTTATAAATATAAGTCTGAATATTTTATGAAATAATGATATATAGATTACAGGAAGAATATTTATTGGTATAAAAATTATCGAAATTTAAAAAATTATATATTTTAATTTCCACATATTAATTTTATTTTATTTATAATTTTTTTAATGTTAAAAATATATATAACATAAGGAATATAAATATGTGTGCAGAAAAAGACTAATTATAAATAACTAACTAATACTAGTAATCCAAATTTATTCAAATAAAAAAGGGAATTATAATGCAAAATGTCTAAATTTATTGCTATTTAATATTTAAAAAAAATGGATATTATAATTGCTACATAATAATTTTTTTTAATGTTAAAGATATAACACAAGGAATATAAATATATGTGCAGAAAAAGACTAATTAAAAATGACTAACTAATAAGGGATTAGTAATCCAAATTTATTCAAATATTGAAAAAAGGGAATTATAATGCCAAATGTCTAAATTTATTGCTGTTTAATATTTAAAAAAAAGGATTATCCAATTAAAAGATTAGATAGTCTTTTAGAAGTTAACGCGAAATCTGTAATAATATCTTCTGTTTTAAATGTATCATATATATCAATTTCACTTGATATTAATAATAAATTTTCTAATAAAGACAATATTAAAAAATATTTAAATTATAAACTTCTTTAATTGTTGATAAATTTCCAGATATTTTTTCTGGGTTGTCTAAATTAGAACTTCTAGGCATATTTTCGATTTTCTATATTTTGAAAAGAGAATATTAATTTATTAAATTGTAAATGCTTTGTCAGATTCTTTAAAAAAATTTTTTTTTAAAAAATTATAATACCGATTCATCATCTATGAATGGAATAATTTCTGGATAGGGAGCATCTAAATGAGATTGCTAAATTTTAAATATAAAAAATGGTCATTTTTAATATTTTGAAATATTTACTACTTTGTCCTTAAAAATGAATGCAGTCTCCATATTATAAGTTTTCTTTAGATCAAATGAATAAATTATAGTATAAATACTTAAAAAAACTTCTTCATCTTGATTTAGTGTGATAATATTATGTAATGGTTGTGGTAGATTTATCTTAAGAGTATCTAATGGAGAGTCAATTTCCTTAAAAGTGTTTAAAATTATATATTGATCACTTAAATATGATATAAAAAGCATGTATAAAAATCAAAAAATAGTTTAACCTTTTGAAAATATGTTGCAATTGATTTATTTTTTTTAAATTGAGTATTGATTCCATTAGTTATTTTGAGATTATTTGCATTTGGACCAAGTTTGTTCCAAACCTTATCTTTTTTAATTGCTATTACCTCAAACTTTACATCACTATTAGGATGTCTTGTTTTGTAATGTAAATTAATTTTGTCTTTTCTAATCTTATTAGAGTTGCAGCCTGTATGCAAGCATTTTACCTTGTAATTTATCTTATTGCTTGGCATCTGATTTAAAAAATTTATATCTATTTTAAAAAGATGATTTAATAAAAATATCTATAATTTAATGATGTAATAATATATTAATAATAAAATAGATGTTTTAAAAATGGTGTAATATGATTAAAATCTACCCATGAAAAGATTTTTATTATTATTTATAAATTCCATAAAAGAAGAAAAGGCAATTATAATTCATAAATTATTAATATACTTTTTAGGAAAATATGGATGGCAAATATCTTCAAATATTGAAATATCTTTTTAAAATAACATATTTTGAAATAACATCAATTTGGATCATAAAATTGTATTATATATTTTTGTTGTTTTAATTTCAAGAAATTCGTAAATATGAAAATAATTATCCTAAATGTCGACAAAATGGCGAGTCCAGCTGATTTACTATTTTAATGAATGAACAAATATATTATATTGTAACGTTGATGTTTAGTAATCTATCTCTATTATAATAGATCTATTATTATATTATAAATAATTAAAGCAAACTTTATTCACATATAATTCAAAAATGTAGTAGATAACATTCTAAATATTTTTACCCTACCCCCCAACTGATGCCTACCCCCTACCCCCTTTTAGGATATTTGGATGCAAACTGTTCCTACCCCCCCCCCCGCTCATGTAGACGCTGCGGTCCTGCCCGGGGGCCGGGCCTGCAGGTCTTTGAAAAACATTCCAAGAAGTAAAATTTTTGATAGTAGATTGAAAGGTTTGGATCTTTTGAATATTCATAGGCATTTGACAACAAGCAAGGATGAGATAATTGAAAAATTAGCTCAATCCCAACGAAGATTGGATTTTACATTGTATATAACATACAAAATACTATTATTCCCTAAGCTTTTTGTGTATATATTTCTAACATTTAAATTTTTTATACTTTATATATAAATTTTAAAGCTCAAAAAATTCAAATTTCTATTTTGGGTCATTTAAGTGATTCTTTACATATAATTTTTTTATAATTCACATTAATTTAAAATTGTGTATTCGAAATAATTATTAGTCCTAATAAATTTATGCTTGATATTTTTAAAAAACAATAATATTTCTTAAAAAATTTTATTATCCCCCCCCCCCCCGACCCAATTCCTGCCTACGCGTATGATAATATATATCAAATAATTCGAACATGTATTGCGTAGAATAAATAAATAACAGGCTAATAATAAAGCTAAAACTATTTTTATTCAAGTTTAAATTAAACTTATAAAAAAATTAGTTATATATATCATTGTTCTAATGAACTATAAGAATGTTAATTATAAATTATACAAATAGAATAAGAATTTTATTCAGTCCTGATCCTTATATTCTTGACAAATGCTTTCTTAAACTACAAAATAATATTCACTGTTAGCTCATATTTTTCTATAAACAAATAAAAGATTTTATTAGTTCTTTGTTGAAATATTCTAAACATTACTCTATCCATAATATTACCTACATCTATCCATAAATTCCTTCAATAATCGATCCATAGTAATTGTGCGAAATGAGTTGGGGAACAGAGTTATGGGTAATCTTATTATCATTAGTCTAATATATTTACCTTATTTTAATTCAAAAATGTTTTACATTGAATATAATTTTAAAATATATTGAATAAGAAGATATATGTACTTATATAAAACTATGTTTAATATGTTATAAATTTAATTTTAATATGATCACTTTCATATGTCTGGTATAGTTTTGCAATTAAATAGAATAAATATTGTAGTAGTTATTTAATAACTTTTAATGGATAATATAATCCCTAAATGTTAATATTAAAATACATATTAAAAATCTCGATTTTTAAATGTAATGTATAGAGCTCTACCCTATATTATAGGGAATTGGATAAAGAATGGACTTTTAATGTATCATAAATATAGGCATATTTTGTTATAATTAAAATTTCTTATTTTCTTTTAATATCTATTTCCATCTTTTAATATTAAAAATGTTCATATTCTGTAATTTAATTTTTTTTATTAAAAACATTCCAAGAATCAGGAATGATTTAGAAAGACCCAGAAAATTCTGGTGGAATATATTTCCAATTTTTAAATAATGTTCATTCTATCCACTTGCTCTAAAATATGACACATTTTGAACCATTTGTAAAATCTCAGTTTTTGTTTTATAGAAATATATTTAAAAATTTTATTATAATAATCAACATTGAATTGAAATAGTTTTTTTTAAACCGATTATTAAAATTATATCATATATAGAAAAATTTATTTTATGCTTCTTTGTCAAGGATATTCATAAGTATTAAATTTTTTGACATTTGTATTTTATTTTCCCTGGTAAAAAAAGTTATGTCATTAAAATTAGAGATGTACCCAATGTACCATTTCCATTTTTGCCAATACTGCCATTTAGCCAAATTCCATTTTTTTTACCTAGCAAAGTTTGGAGCAATTACCAGATTTTATATTTAAATAAATTATTTATCTCTCTTATACATAAAATTTAAATGGATAATGTTAAAAAGATTAGTCACAAAAAAAAGACTCATTACAAAGATGAATGCAATAATTTAATAATTGATCAAAAATACCAATGCAATGACTAAAATAGTTAAAATATACAAAAATGAATAAGCCAAGAGGATGCAAAGTTTGGAAGAACTTTTTATGTCTATTCTCTAAAGTAAGTTGAGGGAAATTTGGCATCTATATCTCAACAATTAGGATGGCTACATTATGTTTGGATAATTAGGAACTGTTTCAATCTCCATGCGATTTAATATAAGGAATAAAGTTGTCTACATTTTTTTTAACAAAAATAACATTTTTTCTTTGATATGAGTTACCTATAACTCCAATTACAAGAATATAGATTATAAAAGTTAATATTTTTTAGGAGAGGTGCTTAAATATTTACAAAGTGAGTTGGCAACAATATAATGCTTATTTCTTCATTTTAAGACAAAGAATTAAAACAATTGAATCAAAAAAAAATAAAGTAGTAATTAACAACATTATATTTTTATAAGTTATTTAAATGATTACCCTGAGATTATAGATAAAGAAAACAAATAGGAGTCTGTAAGATTCTACTGTTATTTTTAATAGAATCATCCGGATCTTCGTTTTTAGGATTAATTTATGCTAGTACTGCTAAATAGCTAGATTTAGTCGATTAAGATTTTTGCCGAAATAATATTACGTAAGCCTCGAGATTCCGTTAATAGATACCCTTCCATCTATGAGCAAAATCTACAGGCACACCTAATATTTTTGGCTAGAATATTGGGCTAGCCGAAAATTTAAACGTTTAACATCATTCGATCCAATATCTGATACATCACTAGTCTCGCTAAAACTAACAGAGTATCTTTACTTTGTACTATATTAAATAAATTTTAAAAAACACGAAATAAATAAATATAAATAATTACATTTATTCACTGATTTCCTCAACCCTTTTCCTCCCATTTTTTAAAATTTATTAATTACGTTTTTTACACCTAATCGCGATCAAAAAATGAAAAAATTTTCCTCCCAAAATCAATTACTTTTTTGTAGTATTTAAAAAAAAATATTTACGATATTTAAATAAGCGCATGTAACATAATATATTTTATTTTACTTGAAGAAAAAAAACAAAATATAATTTTATTATATTAATATAGCCCGACCTATTTTAAGTTCGAGAAAATTTTAAACTCTATTTTCATAAATAAACAGGATTTGGAAAGTAAGACTAAGAAAGAAATAAGAACAAAAAGGAAGAATGAAGGAATGAAACGGACAAGTGTGTTAAAATGCACATCTAGAAGTATAAAGGGAGCTACCAAGCCAACCTTTTGCCCCTTACCCATTATTATCAAAAAATTAATAATGGATCAAATTCAAAAAAGAAAAATAAATACTCTGTGGTCCATAAAATTAATCCTAGTTTGATTCATAAATTTTTAATGCAATATATAATATATTCATAAAATACCAATGAGTAGGGGTGTGCCGATATTAATATCGGATCGGCACCGATATTTAGTGATTTCAAAAAATTGGATTGGACCGATATTTTTTAAAAACGATCCTATATTTTTTATTGTTTTGGGTTATTTTATGATTGTATATATAATCATATAATTTTTTTATTTTATAAATAATTTCATAGTAATAAAATAATGAACGGAACTAACAATTTATTTATTGTAATGTTTAAAAAAATAGTTTAAAATTTTACAGTATTTTTTGTTATATTATATGCAACAAAAAAAGGATTTTAAAATATCTAACGAGTCACATTCAGCTAGTGTTGTTAAACGGCTCGATTTAGTCAATTTAAAACAGTTAACCCAAGATTTTGGCCAAAAGTAAATTATTCAAGTTTATTGATTTTGCCACAGATGGCCGAAAGGTTTGGACTTCTATTGGCAAAATTTAGAGGCCTAGGTAATAATATTTTGGTTAAAATTTTTATTGCCTTTCGGTTAAATGAAGCTGTTTAACAACCCTACATTCGCCTCATAAACATTGCAAATATTTTATGAGATTTTTAGCTTGTGAGTAAAAAAAAATAAAATACACTTAATCATTCTGGAAAGTTGGCTGTTTTTTTAAGAAAAAATAGAAAATATTGATAAATTTATGATATTGGTACAAAGATATAAATAGAAATGAATATAAATATAAGATTGGTATCAGAATCGGATCGGTGAAAATTTTTTGGATCGGCACAAACATACCGAGGAGCGTTTAAATATTCTTAAAAATTAAAAATAGGATCATTTAACGTTTTAACTTTGAAAAAATGAATAAACAACTTATAATTATGGATAAAATGGTCCTAGAAAAAGTTGGAATTAAATGAAAAAGTTTGAATAAAGGACTCATAATTATGAATCAAATGATGGTCTTAGTAGAAGTTGGAAGAATGATTATCAAAATTTAACTGTTAAAACCTAACGGGTCAACCGGGCGGGTTTTTGTCTTGATCCGGTTCTAGTCCCATACTATTTTTTACGTCAATTTTATAAAAAATAAAGTGTAGTTTTTTAGGTAAACCCGTTTATAAATTGCTATCCGATCCTTTTTTAAATTATCTGTAACTGACTTGATTTTCATCTAATCTTTCATTGAACTAAGGACGGACATACAAAATTGAAATGGAAAATTTTTAATACAAAAGTCATCTTCAATTTCATAAATACAATGCTGATATAATCCATTTTTTTAACAAACAATATTATTTATTATATTATATTATATACAAAAATAAATTTAAATTACCATAATATTTATATTATATTAAAATTAAACCTTATTTTTTTTTACAATAGTATGTCTCATACATTAACACCACACATACGCATACATAAACTATAATTCCAGTAGCTTGACTTTAATTTTATATTATATTGGTTTTGGTTACCAAGCCTTTCTTCTTTCTTTCCCTCATCCCTTTAAATTATTATTTGCAATGAATAAAAATAATAAATTCCCTACCTACCTTACCTTTAAGTATCTTTTCGTAAAATAGAGTTTTTTTAAAAAAAAATACATAAATAGTCATTTTTAATGATCCTCATTAAAACATTAATATTCTTCGGTTGATTTGATCTCGCTTTCACCTCCCCCTCTCCTTTCTTCTATTTCAAGTTTCCTAATATTTATAAAAATATATAATATAATGTAACACAAATTTGTTTAAATTGTGTTTTGGATTTTGCAAAATTTTTAATAAAGGTTAAAATTAGTTTTGTGATAAGGTTGGCCGCCGATTTAAATCATCCCGATTTTTAAAAAAAAATCAATGATTTAAATCTAAATTCAAAATTATTAAAGATAAGGACTTTGATAACCAAATCTAAATTAAATAACCATATTGGACTATTACCACTTGTTAGACAAAAAAGATTATTTTTTATTACAATTTTTGACATAGTAAAAAATAACTGCACAATAGTGAAAAATTATTTAATATTTTTAAATATAAAACGAAACTATAATATTAAAAATCTACACATATTTTAAAAAATTTTATATTTCTTTATAATAAAATAAATATAAATTAGTTTATAATATTAAGCATATATCATATCATATCATATCAAGCACGTTGGTCATAGACCTGCCTAAAGTGAGCGAACGTGAATTACAAGAAGGCCCGCCCTCCATAGAATTATGCCGATTTTTTTCTCAAGGATACCAACAAACCTTGTAACTCAGTAGTTTTATCATAAAAGAGTGGAACTACACCCTATCCGATTATTGTATTATTTTGTTATGAGTAAGAGAGAAGCTAAGAAAAGAAGGCTATTTCTTCCAAATAATCACAAGTAATATCTATATCATCGACATTGGTATTAGAATTTAATAACATAAATAAAAAAACTAAATTTCCTGCCTTTTCTGTACCTAACCGAGCTTTGAGTGAACAGCTCCAAACGAATACTCTGACTGTAGCGGATGATGAAAAAGTAGTAAATAGTTTATTTTTAGAATATTTACATTCTTCTTGAATTTCCTTGGGCCACCATTCAACTGGGGTTACTTTATTTACATCCGAAAACATAATTTTTATAAATGGCTTTGATTTTGCTTGAAATTTTACCAAGATAGTTAAAATGTCAGGGTTTGGATGCAGAAGCCTCCCGCATTCCATTGCCGTTTCCATTTCAATGGTTGTTATTGTTAAATTTATATTTCGGAAAGGTAGGATAAGAAGAGTGCAGGAGTTAAAGCGTGATTGTATCATTTAGCAAAGGATGAAAATTACTACCTGTTTTTTTATTAGTATTTAAGGTGGTTAAAAATTTTTGTAAATTCTTCCAACAATTTACTGTCTGAAATATTTGATTTATTTATTTCTTAAATTTTTAAATATTTCGCAATTTATCTTTCAATCATATCTTCAGCAGCTCTTTTGATTGTAATATTTTCAATCTTTTTCCTAATTGGAATGTCGATTTTATTTTTATTGCTTTCACATATCTTAAATAATTTTGCCCATTCCGTTATATATGTATCTAACTATTTACAACTGAGTTCCAACGAATATTTTGTGGAGTGGCAAGAGATCGCCCTGATCTACTTTACCACACTAACTATTTGTTCCCGGATATTATTTTCCAAATCTTTGATAGTAGATTTACAAAATGAGCACTACACCCATAGGTTATATATAATTTTCATTATTTATTATCATCCCTGATTTTTATTATATTAGTTGCATTGATCGGCTCTTTATTTGAAAAAATATCAAATTACAACATATATCATGATTTAATTTTTCAACAATTTTGACTTTTTCACTTGGGCATTAATCCTTTACTTGCAATATAAGATTAAACTGAAATTTAAAACAACGATATTTTGCAATCTTAGCCCATAATTCTTTAATTAATATTTGAATTAATCGATTTAAACCAAAAAATCACGATTTTTGCCAACCCTATTTTGTGATAATTGATTTTGGTCATTAAATATTTATAAACAAATGGAAATTGCTAGGGAGTCCCAAAAACGTTCTCAGCACTCTTTATTTATTTTTTTTATTAAAGATTAAGTTTTTCTTAGTATGTTTATATTTGTATCTGCTTTATTATTAAATCAAACTGAACAATTGAATAAAAAAATGTTGTAATGGAAGGTATCAAATGAGAGTAGTGTTGATTAACAGCTTCACGCAGACGGCCTAATTTTTAGCCGAAAATAATGGCTTAGCATCCTAGCTATGTGGGAAAAAGTCGATAATCAAAAAAATTAGTCTACGTTCTAACAAGTTTAAAATTGCCGGATTTTATTCGCAAGAGAAAATAACTATGTAATAAGTGGCTTAGAAAAATAGGCCAATTTTTTTTCTCTTATACCCAATTTTATTTTACAAACCCATTTTTATTCTCTTGAAAAAAATTTGCGCGAATAGAATTGCATAATTATTGTTTGCTGGGATAGAGCCTTAAAGAATTTTGCGCGAGGAAGAGATGCCTAATTTAAGACCCGGGCGGAACTTAAATTTTTGTAAAAACAACTATCGCCTTAATATTGTTCATTTGGATGATGAAAGCGATAGGTTGGTCGGATTTGGTTTTCATTATTATATCCCGGTTTATATACATCCGATCGCTTTAAAATATTTTGTATTATTAAACGGCTCGATTTTTTTAACGAATAACCCAATATTTTAGCCAATAATTATTTGCAAGCCTGGAGATTTTGCTCAAAGATGGTTGAAAGGCTTGGACGAAATCTCGAGGCTTGTTGGCTAAAATCTTAATTTAAAATTGTCGAAATCTAGCCGTTTATCATCACTAGTTTTGATCATCCATTATTTCGAAATGTTAGAAAATACTTTCTTCTTTTTCGAACAAATAAAAATAAATATTGGCTATGGGGAAATCGATACAAATTTTATATTGAATGTATGATGATTGAATTTAGTTTATCATAGATTAGATTTATCTTTTGAAGGTACCAAATCGAATTTTCATAATATTTGCCTTTTTTTAAATAAAAATAAATAAAAACATTAGTAGATAAGGCTATATAATTAAAAATAATGTAATACGATATAGTTATGAATGATGAATCCATATCTTTTACATTATCGTTAAATATTAATCATAGTTTTTGATTGGTTAGATTTAAAAATTTTATTCTATAATAAAATATTAACTTTTTGAATGATTGAATGTATTCACGAATTTCGGAGGTAATTTAATATTTATACATATGAATTATAGTTCTACGAAATCGTTTTTTTACTGCTAGAGGTTCATGGCTCAGCTAGCCCCACTTTATAATACAAAATAGTTTTCATGATTTCGCCATGAGTTTAATATTTATTATTATATACCTAATAGACTAAAAAGAATTAGTTAGTACCATTTTTCAAAAAATTGATAAAACTAAATATTGAGGATTTTAATTCTGCAAATAAGTTATTTAAATAATACATTGTGTCATAATAACCGAATTAATTTTATAAGATGCATATAATAAACAAATAATTTTAACTTTGATTCCCACCTGTAATACATAGAATACTTCTAAATTATGCCTATAATACTCGTTTGTCATAGGACTTGATTTTTAATAAGTTATATCCATAAATATTGGAAAAATCATAGGTGCGGCGATAGTCAAATGACATCCTGGTGCAATTAAAATGACCTATATGGGTCGCTATTGCTAAATATTTTTGTGACTCTTCCTGAATTTCCATTTGGAGTTAAGCATCCATAAGATTCAAAGTTGAATATTTTTGTTCTCCAATTCTTGCCTGTAAATCATCTGACTTTTTGATTAACGATCATCCACCAATGCTGTGCTTATAGTTACATAAAAGTCAGCACATATCCTAATGATCCCTATTGCCCATATTAATCATCGGAGTTATCTGCACATACACCGATTCTTTACCTGGTCTACCTTTACCAATTAAACCTCTCCAGCTCCACCTTGATAGGTCAGAAGTGACAAAGGCACTTTTCCCGCCTAGGGTCACTCTATTGACCTTGAAATTTATCACCATCCATGGCGTATCATTCGATCTCTTTACTACCACCGGAAGATGTTGTATTTCATCTGAATTATAACTGATAATTTTAATTTTAAACTTGTTTCCAGCTATTCAGATTATTTTGTTTATTAGTACACCAATTAATAACTATTAATTTTCGCTTTATCTTTAATTAGCTCCTTATCTGACTTTCAATAATTTAATGACAAGTTTAATATTTGGGAGTAACATTGGATGTATCTAAGTTTTTATCAGAAACTTCGTATTCTACTTTTGGAAGATCAGCGCTTGCTAAAAATTGGTCTCGCAATTTCACATCAATGACAAATTAGGCATAACTCTTTAAGTCTTCTAGAAAATTGTATTTTGTGTTCATTTAGCAATCTTTTGCATCTTATTAACTTAATTCGTTTATAAAATTACAGCATTTAGGAAATCCTTATAATTCTATCAATACCTTGAAATATATATATCTCTCCACGCACCTAATCTCTCAAGACCAAAATAAGCCAATAAAACTAAGGTTATCATCTTCTGTTATGCCCTTTATCCTAAAAATCGCTTTTACATGAACTAAGTAAACTAATTTCTCAAAATAGATTTACCTGAATTTTTTTAGGAAAAAACTTTATAATTGCCTACCCCCCCCCCTTCCATGAATTTTATTTAATTTTAAGTCCCCATATTCTCAGAATGGACTCATCCAATTTATTTTGAGTGAATCATTTTTGCTCTTCATTTCTTACATATTCCAAACAATTAAAATTTATATTATAAAATAGCATTTTATATTTTGTATTTTATCTTAGGACCAATATGACAACCTGTCATCTTACACCAATAAAGCTATTGATTTTTTAGACGTTTTCTCCAATTTCGTTAGACAACGTTGCATAATTGAAATCGAATACGCCTCCAAAATAAGGTATAAATATGAAAAACAAAAATTTTTAAAAAGAAAGAGTAAAGAACGATAGGTTAAATAAATTAAAATAAATAAATTAATTTTAAAAAAAACGAAAACTTATATTTTTTGTTTTATAATCTTCATCAACAAAAGTAGAAAATTAGTTATATATATATATCTGATAAAAATTTTAAAATAGAATCATCTTTAAAAATATAATTACATAAAAAAAGTGTGATATTTCACTGATTTTTGTAAATCATTGCCTTTCTTTATTTTTTATTCTTTTCCATTCCTTTCTTTCCTACTTTCTCAAAATTAAAAAAAAAAACTTTATTATATTAGTTAAAACGTTTATTATTTACCTTTTGTCTTTCTTTGCATGGGAATTATCAAATCCATTTTTATAAATGATATAATAAGGCATAAGAGAGAAGGGAACAAACACTGTTATTTTTAATTTTATTACTATTTAATTATTATGATATACTGTTTGTTTTGTTTCGAAGTTTTGTATTTTTTTATGAAATGTAAAATAACATTATTGTCTATATTATGTGTGTCAGAAATTTATATCATATTATATTAGTAAATGGGGGAGGGGAGGTGGCTAAGTAAGAAAAAAGAAAGTGATAAATGATAAGTTAGGAGAAGGGAATAGAGATAGAAGTTGGGAAATAATAAGAAGTGAAGGAAAAAATGTCTAAAGATGATTACTCGTTATTTGGCAGAAATTTATGTTTTATTATAAAACTGTTATTAATGTTTAAAAAGAAGACAGAGATATAAATTTTATAAAAATTAACATTTTTAGGCGCTTAACAAAGAACTTCATTCCCAAAAAATCTAAAGACGATGATTACTATCAGTAAAAAATATTTAAAAATTTTATTATATTGTAGTGTCTTCTAAGTAAGACGCACTAGTGATGCAAAATCATTTCGTTTGAGCCGATTTTTAAAAAAGACAACTCAGTATTTTATCCAGAAATATACAATCCTAGAGATTTTGCTCATAGATAGCTAGGTTTGGACATTTATTAGCGGAATCTCGAGGTTTAGGCAATATTTTTTTGGCTAAAATATTGAGTCGTTTTCAAAAATCTGCTTAAATGGAACTATTTTGCATCAATAAGCAACTAACCCAAGGCCGATTCTTTAATTTTTTCCCATACCACTGGCTCATACCGCAAACATGTTATTAGTGTAAAAAAATATTTTTTTAATATTTAATTCATGGTTGAAATACGCCATCTTACGGAAATGAATTTTATAAATGATTAATAAAAAAATAAATTATCAAATATAACAAAAAGAAGAACAAATTAATTTAATATAATTTTTAGATAGCTTTTTGCGATTTCGGACAGTGATATCGGCGAGGATTAAAATTATTGGTCATGTTATCGATAAATTTTTGGTTTGATTATTTAATATGAGCAGAAAGCCCGTCAAGAATGACGGGTGTATCATATCAGAATTTTATCATTTATAATTTTCCTATACGGTTATCGGTTTTTAACACTAGATATTTTTCAAATCTGAGTAAGATGCAGGATTTTTAGGCATTAATCTAGTATATGTCTATCTCAATAGGAATTTTTTGTTGGCCAAATCAAATAATCTTAGGCTTAATTAAATTTATCTTCTTTGAATCAAATCTTATTAAAATATATAATCGATTATTTTGGGGATATTTTTATGATATTATTTCTTTTCCCAATACAATTTTTTTAAATATCTCATCTATATTTGGAGATAATTTATAAATTTTATGAGCATTGCAGTGTGGACTCCGAAAAATAACTCACCCTTGGGGAAAGAAGGAATAAAATTAAGTCGCGCTTCCTTAGCCAATATCTCGGCATGCACCTGCGCCATACTTTGAGTTTCTAAGCAGATTTTTTTTAAAAATTTGGATTCCATCTTGAATGATTTCTTCGATTTTGGCATTTTTAGGTAAAATTTAATCAAAAATATTTCTTGTTTTAAAATAATTTTTCTAAGATTTTTGCTCAAATCTTTTTTTGAAGATTTTTGAAACTCTGTTTGAGTTTTCTATTATTTGATTTTATGTTCGAATAAAAAAAATGAAAAAAAGAAAGATTATTATGCTTAGGTTTTTTTTGGCCTAAAAGTTTTTTAAAAAACATTTTTGTAATTTTTTGCTAAAATAATCGATAATTTTATTGGGAAATAAAAACCTTTGAAGTTACCACGAACGAATACATAATAATGTATAAATTTTTAAACTCGTTAATATGATATCATTAGCTTGAGTAATCAAAGAAAGGTTAATAAGTTTGTATTACTACGAAGATGTATGAAATAATACTAAAAATGTAAATAAAAAATTATTTATTAATAAACACTGGATTAATAATTTATTTAAAAATAAGTATATACATTTAACACCAAAGTTAAAAGATTGACTTATTGTATTTTTTAATCGTAGCATTTCCCATCTAATGAAAATTACTGTTTTTAACACTGCGGAGAAAGCTATAATATTTTTTAAATATAAGCTGATTATATTAAATATGATGAAAATATTTCGAAACTCTTTTTATTCCTAAAGGAGTATTGCTATGGGTAAAAAGTGAGCTGTGACTTTCGTCTATACATTTTTGCTATGATCATTTCTTCTTTCTTCAGAAAGAAAGATTCTAAAAAGCACCAGATTTGATATTAAATTGGCAATTTAACAAATGTAATAACAAATGAGCAAATTTAAATCGTAAATAACCAAGTATAATAGAAAATTAACTTAAGGCTCTTTTGCCTAAAAGTAAAAGACTAAATATAATAGAAAATATGCAAAAATTGAAATAAGTAGATAAAAGGTGCCAAAAAATTAAACATGATATTAAATATATTAATAGTAAAGGAATAAATGGAAAATGACTCATTAGCAAATGCCATTTTGCTTAAAAGGGCCAAAAGACTAAATTTAACAGCAAATGATGAGTAATAGTAAAAAATGTTATGGCAACTTAGCGACTTGATTTGCTATTAAATTTAGTATTTTGTCACCTTTAGGCGAAACTGCTTATGTTAATTTGCTATTATATATTTAGCTTACTATTAAATTCTTGTCAATATATCAATTTTGGTCTTTTGGTACTTTTAGGCCAATTTTGTCATTTACTATTAAATTTGTTCATTTGCTAAATATGCACATTTAATATCAAGGTTAGTCTTTTTGCACTTCAAGGCAAAATGTGCTATTTGCCATTACATTTGTCCATTTACTAAATTTTACGCCTTTGCTATTACATTTGCCCAATTTCTTTTAGCACTTTTTAGGAGAAACATCTTTCAGCAAATTTGCTATTACATTTGATCATCAACTATATGGGCTAAATTTGCTCATTTAATATCAAATTTTAGACTAAATGGATATAGGCGAAACATTGGTACATTGCTAGGACATCCTTTTAGGAATATTAGTTATTTATTGTGGATCTTTCCCAATTGATTAAATATTATGAAGTTTGCCCCTTTAAATATGATTTTATTTTTAGATTTTTATAAAAAAAATTGAATGGATCACTTTTAAAAACAATTTTTTTTTTGTAAATCATAATAAACAGATTTTCCTACACTAAAGCGTTTTTAACGCTTCTCAATGAAACGAACGATGTTGCGGGCCAACACGAAGTCATAGCGGAAAATTTGACTACCAACATAGCTAACAATTTGAGCGATTTGATCAAAAATCTTAAAGAACAGAGGAAAAGGGTTTTTTTTAGAAAAATATATTTTTTATATGCTTGGATAAATAATAAGGAAAGGGGAAAAGAGAAGCAACATTAAGCACTTGGGCATAATTTTATTGAATTTTATTACATCAAAAAATTATTTTAATAAATCTTATTTCATTCGATATAATAGTGTCTGTTAGATGGCAATAAATTAAACATCAAATTATTAGACCAAGAGGACACTCTCAGCAAGGTATAATCAATTCTTTTATATTCGTGAAATCAAATGTTCAATACATTTTATTTTTAGTATCTTCATTCTTTAATTTACATCCTTACCTATGGCATTTATCTATTATTTTAACAAATTAAAAGGATACATAATAAATAACATAATTATAATCAAATGCTTGCTATTGTACCCCCTCGATAAAATATACCTAATAAATTAAAGTTTTTATATTGTTTGAAAATAATTGTTTCTACTAAGGATCTAAACATGAACCTAATTATTAAACCTAGGCGTCGAGATTTCGCTCCACGCTATCTATGAGCAAAATCTTTAGGTTGGATAAATTATTGAAATTCGCCGTTTTTAAGAATTGGCTCAAATCGAGCTGTTTAACAACACTAATTAAACCGGTACAAACCGTTGTTATCCGAACCTAGACATCAATATTGTTATCACCCTAACCTGAACTGAATTTCTAAAGGTCGATAACCCAATTTGAACCTTTAATTTTTTTTTGCAACAAAAAAATTTAGAGCAAAAAAAATTACGAGAAAAATTATAAAGAATCGATCAAAGCGCAAATTGGCTATGAAAAAGCTGACGCCGACCTCAACTTATCACGCGCCGATGTTGAAAAGGTTTAAAATAAATAAATAACATGAAGCACTTTAAGCCTAATTTACTGGCTCTTTTACCTGATAATGTCTTTTATTTCGAAAACCACCAACTTTTTAATCATTTTCAGAAGTTCCTTTTTCCGAATAAAATACGATTGATTTGTGTTATACAAAAAAAATTATTTACAGCACAGAGCCAATTCTCAGAATAAGACGAAATGCAACGAAGAAGCGAAATTACATTATGGGAACAGGCTTTTGGAATACAACGAGATGAAACGTTCCCATTACAATCATCATTTGCCAGCCGTTTTACAAGTCAATGTCTATTTTCATTAGAGATCTGCGATGGGTGGGTTTTTAGCCCAAGCGCCAACTCATTTTTTTTAAATTAATCCGCTCACCTTGCCCATAGTTTTTTTTAAACTCACCTGCCGCCGCCTGCCCGTCCAATGTTTAAAAATTTATTTTTTTGGTTAGGGTTAGTTCTGTATTATTACTAAACGCATAAAATATGCGATATTATGAAATTATAAAATAATTTTAAAGTCCGTTGGCTGTTACATGGTTCGACTTAATTTTGATATTTAATGTTATTTAGTCTAGGTTTTAAACAGCTTTTGGCACCCTATTTTGGTTTATTTTAAGTGTTTGGTGGCATTGTTATTTTTCTTACTTATTTTTTTTTTTTAATTTTTTTTAATTTGTCTAAGCAAAATAACCGGCGAAACAGCCGCTTGTTTAGGAATAAGCTGAACCAGGACACGGCCATTCTGCTCATTTCGCCCGAAATATTTCAAAATAACCCACCTGCCCATAGTTTTAGAAATATTTAACACATCCTCTGACTCTCCTAGTATTTTAAATTGCCCGCGGAGGGTGATATATTTTTGAACGGGATAAAACCCCTTTCGTTGCAGACCGTTAATCTGCATTCTATTCTGTGAGGTTTATATAATTGGGTGGGGGGGGGGGAGGCAAAAAATAACGCAACGATAAATGAATGGCCTATAATATTTTTTTTAAAAATAATAACTCTTTAAATATCGTGGAAACCAAAAAATTTAAAATTACAACTCTTGAGATTGAAATACTATTTATTTTAAAAAAAACATTCTATTATTTTACTACCTCTAAAGTGACCAGAAAAAATATTATTCCAAAATAAAAAGAGACCTAAAGGTGGCTCATTTTTTTAGAGTTAAAAAGAAAATAGATATGGGGTGACAGGGACTTAATCAAAAATTAATTTAAAAAAAGAAATCAAATCAAAACTACCCCTCTCCAATTTTATTCAAATGATGATCAAGTTTTCATAGCTACCTACCCCTTTCCATTTTTAATGACAGTTTGCGTCATAGCCTCCCATGCCAATAATAATCAATCTAAATATCGGTCATCAGATTGATTTAGCAATATCGGGTCGGTTAAAAACTTGTGGATCAGCACGGCTCTAAAGATTATTAACTCATATACCCGATTTCAGCGAAAAACATATGTGGGTGATGGTTGGGATAATTGTAATAAAAACAGATGTGTTTATGTCTCTTAAAATAATTTTTCCATATAGGCTATTTACAGACACCGATTGCCTGTACCCGTTTGAAAATATAAATAACACATTATTAATTTTTCAAATAAAAAATTTTTTCTTTACCTAAATATAGTCGCCTGAGTATTTTAGTGTTCTATATACACTTTTTTGCATAATGTAATTTTTTATAAATCAATCTTTCAATACTCTGTACTCCTCAAAATATTACCAATAAAAATGTTGAAATATAATTTAGAATAATCCTTTATGCATCATCATGGTGTGGTCTCCTATCTAAAAAACAAGAATTTTTTTTTGATATATTATCCTTGAAAATAATAAATAAATGGATACTGATTACTGAAAAATTTAACTGACCCTATGTTTTCATTAATATGCTTTTTTTTAATTTTCAAATGTTCTTTGGAAGTAATCGGAAATCCTAAAGTGTTAGTTTATTTTATTTCTAAATTTTAAAAAAATACAACACAGAGACTTCAAGAAGTGGAAAGTGATCGGATAAAAAATTATTCCGATTTTGTGAAAGCCTACGTCCATGTTTGCAAAAATGTGTTGCCAATAGTCAATACCTGTTATGATAACATAGAAAAAGGTGCCAACGAGATAGATCATGCACTGGTACGAAAACCCGACTATTATTTGGAGAGAAAATAAATAACTAAAAGAAGGATGAGGAAAGGAATAAAAAAAAGGATAGATGGAAAGATTAAAGATAAATGTACAAGAAAGAATAATTAATAAAAGGAAAGGAATTATAAAAAAAATACGGATATTACTTTTTTTTAAAAATGATTTCTAATGTATTAGAATATCTGCCAATAACATATCTCTCTCAGATTATTTTCCTTTTACTAACGAATAGTTAAGATAAATATTTATTGGCTACCAGAATATATAAATATTTTAACCAATTACAATAACTATCTTATGATGATCTTGCTAAAGAAATACGCGATTAAAAAATGGATAGGAAGAAAAGAATATTATATACATTATATTATATAAATAGGATAACAGATTGGTGATAGAGAAATATAAATCAGGCTTTGAAATTCCAGAGGACGAACAGTTTGTGGATTTATCAGAAAATGCCATGATGACGGGTATTAAAATAATATTAATTTTTTTAAACCAAAACATTCTATACCCGATTATGTTTTTATAAACTCTCTTTTATTTTTGCTTTTCATCTTTTTTCTCGTTTTTAACAAAATTAATTAACATTTAACCCTCATCTTTCGTTGATTTTCAGACCATCCCTTAACTAACCCACAGTTCATCGCGCATTCCAATCACAACAATAAGGTTGCAATCTCCGACCAAAAAAATGCCAATCACTTTTACGTCAATAACTCATCATCTCAAATATGCAATAGTAGCCTTCAGAATGTCAATATTTTGAACACTAATAACTCTTCTAACCATACCAGTTCCAACTCTAATTTTAGTTCTTCCACCAATAACCACAATGAAACAAAACCAGGTACTAACTACACTGTTTCCTTCAAAAATACACTCTCCAAAAAATCGCTCATCAAAAAGCGCAACGTTCTATTCAATATATTCGGCTCTCAAAAGGTAAGATTAAATTGTAAAATTGTTTCACTTTTGGGCTAATCGAGATCAAAAATCGGATTAAGGTCGGAATAATTATTAAAACGATCCGGCCCGATTTTCAGTTCCGACTTTAATAGAGATGAACCGAATCTTTCTATACCCATATTTTTTGACACCCGAATTGTTATTTATAAATGCTTCGGTTAGGTGATAGTCCTACTGCTTAAAATTTTAAGAGCGATAATATTTATATTTAACCTCTGTCCATATGTTTTTTTTTAAAAAAAACTTACTTTTCATTAGCTTTAACTAATGTGTTATTGATGGAATTGTATAACAAAACAATCAAAAAGAGTGAATTTTATCTTAAATTCTTCTTCTCCATTTAATGGCGATTTCCAGATGAGCCCGTTTCCCCTCTGATTTTCCTTCAGACGGTCCTGAGAATCAAAATCGGTTCGGTCCTTTTTAATATTGAGCTCATTGATCTTTCTAGACGATTTTACTATTATCTTGGGGGGGGACAAATCTATAGCATTTTTCTCAGTTTACAAAGATATCATATGCAGATACTCGAAAACATATTTGGTTTAATCAAAAATTATCATTATATGAAATATTTATTTTAAGGATTTTTAATATAACCATCACATAATTTCACATGAGTATTATCGGCGCCAAGAGAAGTTTTTGTAGTGTTCTTAAAACTCTAACCCATATTTTAGCCAAAAATATTACGCAAGCCTGGAGATTTTGCTTATAGATGGCAGAAAGATTTAGACATCTATTAACGAAATCTCGAGGGTTTGCATAATTATTTTGGCGAAAATCTCAGTTTATTAACTAAATCGAGCTAAACCACTAATTTTTGCCCCCTTTTGGTAAAATCATGAGGCTTAATAATATTTAGATTTTAACCGTTTTTTAAGAAATCGGCTTAATGAAATTTTTTAACGATCCTACTTAAAGTATCGGTTAAAAAATTGGCATTGGTAATTTCTACAATCTAGTGTTATTATGATATCAATTTGTAATATATTAATAAACGAAAGACCAAATTTTTGTTTTGACTATTTCGTTTTTTTCTATTATAATATTTCTAGATGTCATAGGTTTAATAGGATATAAAGGACTAAACGGTAAACCGTTATTTATGACGTATGGACAGGGTAAATATAAATTATTCGTATGTATTAATCAAAAGTATCGTTTAAAAAAAATCGGATACACGTTTATATAAAATTATTCGCATGCATTAAAGGTCAAAAGTACCGTTTTTTGAAAATTAATTATCGCGTTATATATTTGAAAATTAAGACCTCATTTTATAATAACCGCGAAAAAGATTATGTGATACTGTGATTATCAACAAGCGATAGCATTAGCTGTATTATCATTATTTATTTTGCAATTTAAGTGGCGCGATGCGATTCGCGCCGACTATAAATGAGGCACTTAAATTTGATCAAGTTTGAAATACTACTATTTTCATTTATGATAATATAATATACTTACAAAAATTCGGATCAAATCAAATATTTTCAGTGTTTACATTCGATTCGAATTTTACGAATAATGATAGTATTCGTACGAATAATAAAACTAGGAATCCTCATGGACAGGTATCTGATTAGACCGACTAGGATCTGTCATGACATAGATATTTTCTCAGAAAGTTTTTCCTAATATGTCTATGAATACTACTTTTAATAATAACCTCTGTTCCACAAGGAACAGATGTTACTTAGAATATTTACGAATAATTCCATCCAAGGGATCGACCAATATTATATTTTCCTTATTCGAATCGAATAATTCGCTTTAGTTATCATATAAAGAATTTGAAATAGAAGGAAAGATAATAAAATAGAAGCCACATATATAGTTTTTTTCTTCTCTAAATGAATCAAATGTCCATATTTAAAATAAACAAATTTTTTAAAATTTTTCAGGACGATTTTAGTGATTTGCCACCAAATCAAAGACGCAAAAAATTATTGGCCAAAATCGATGCCATTAATTCGCAATTAGCGCAAGAAAAAGCCGCAAGGTTTTGCCATTAAGAATTTATATATATTTTTTTATATAAAACATCGTCTTTCAAATCAAACCTTTTATTCAAAAAAATAACATCCTAGGGTTCTATTTAAAAATATTATCGAAAAAAAATTATGGACCTGGGTCGAGCCTAAATTTTTTTCAAGGTCGAGCACCGTATTGGTGCCTATGCAGGTCTCTGATATATATTAAATTATCACCAAAAAAATTCACACTATCATCAAATTTTTTATATCTTCATGATATCACTCCCTAAGAGTGCATGTAGTTTTATTAACCATTATATAATAACTTAAGGATATCATCATATAACTTAAATATTTATCATCACAGAGACGCTATGTTGAGGATGAGGGAGGTTTACGAGAAAAACCCCAGCATGGGAAACCCTTTAAGTATAGATGGTCAACTTAATGAAAGTTCGCATCGGCTAACCAAACTTAATAACGAACTCAATCGATACCAGGTTAACATAAAATTCAACAGGATTATAGGGCTTTACTTTTTATTTAAATAAATATAATCATACTTAATTTAAAAAAAAGGTTCAATTTATCTAATATTATGGTTTATAATTTATGCATTCGGTTCATTACAAGAAACATAAGGTTAGAAAAATATACATTTGTTTTTTTATTTCGGGTTCCAGACTTATTTACGCGACATCGAATCTTCCATTAACCTTACTCATGCCAAATCTCCTTGTCAAAACCAGCAAAACAATCAAAAATCTTCCAATAATCAAGACAAAATCAATCATAGTTCCTCTTTTTCAATCAACAGTCAAAACAACGAAAATAGCGAAAATAGTTATCGGTTAAATGACGGTTCTCTCAGTTCGGAAGATTGCAGTCTGAAAAGGGATGAGTACGATATGATAGAAAATTGCCAATATTACCCCTCCCTAGGTCACTGCATAGCCTTATATGATTTTGACGGTAATAGAAATAAATAATTGAATTGAAGGGATAAATTAATTAATCAAATGGAGAATTTAAAACGTTAACCCCCCCCCCCCAATGTTCATCATTGGAAAGGTAGAGGAAATTAGAAAAGAAAAAGGAAAAAATCTCTAAGATATTATTTTTTAAAATAGATATTTATTTTATACATGCTAAGGTTCTAGCGAAGGATCAATTCCCATGAAGATAGGCCAAACTTTCGAAGTCGTGGAGTTAGACCAAGGAGACGGTTGGACCCGGGTCCGAATGAATTACAACAATAACGAAGATAATTTACCTGTCAACAACAATTCCGAAAAATGCAACTCCAAAGATTCCAAGAGTTCCGCTTCGAATTCCAACAAATCTTCCAGTCTGAATGAAGACGAAAATTATTGCATAAGTATGCTCTCATTTTCGTTCGATTTGGTTTTTCTTTATTTCAGGAACCAATATATCGTGGATTAAGACATTTATATTAGATAGATATACATTTTAGATAAAGATGTTATTGTATTTTAAATTAAGGTTATGGTAATAATATTATCTTATCTTATTTTATATAATATAATATTGTAAGGTCAGTTGAAAGTGAATTAATTATATATTATATTTATATATAGAGAGAGAGTGAAAGATATAATTTTAGATATATAGATAATCTTAAAATATAATTTAGAATATGCCACATAGAATAATATATAAAAGATAGATAGATAGATAGAAAACATTTAAAAAAATGAGTAAAAATTGAATATTTTTTTTTTAATTTAAGACCGCGATTCACACTTAGCGAACGGTGTCAAAGTCAAATGTTCGATGACATCAACAGAAAATCCCTCTCAACTCAATAATGGCACTATCGATAATTTATCCACTAGGGACGAGATAAATCCGCTATTGCTAGAAGGGTTCGTTCCCACGTCCTACGTAAAAATCACGATGTACCTAGAAATTGCCAAATAATTAGAAGAAAAAATGATTTAGTATAAAAAGTCCGGATGCCCCGCCATTTTTTTGTCAAATGGGAATTAAGCATGAAATATATAAATAACAGGAAAAATTTATTCGAAAAAATAATAACACTCGCCTCTTTATCAAAAAAATAATTAACCAAATATCTAATATTACTTATTAATTATAAATCATGTTATTAAGCACGTTGTTTTGAATCTTAAATTTAACATTTTATAAACTACTTCAAATTAAATTGTGAATATCAAAAATTCCCTAAATTATTAAATATCAAAATTAATATTTCAAAAGTCCATTTTAAATAAATATATAATATATATAATATATTTATTTTATATTGAATGTGATTTAGCTATAATTGTTGCTTATGTGAATTCTTTGTATAAATAATAAAATGTTTTATAAAAATAATTAAAGAGACTAAAATTCTATTCGCAAAAAAAAAAAATTATGATAAATTTTATTTGTTTATCTAAATTTAGCTTTTACCAATCATAAAGTAATTTGATCAAATTATAGTTCCAAAAATTTTTTTTATTGATTAACCCAAGATTTCGTTTTTCATTTGAGTATTTTTTATTTTAACCTTCCCATCCTCTTTTTAATTGATTATATTCTTTAAATAATTCCAAATTATTTTGTCCAAAAGAAGTACTTTCTTCTGATAAAATTTGAGGGATTTAGGTTAATATTATATAAATTGGAGACCATTTTAACCTCTTATTTATATGATAATAATGGAATTAAAATCATTTATAGGCATTCTTTTATATTATTTTTTTGGTTTAACTTTGTTTTTCAATAACTAAAATATCAAAAGCAAAGTCACATGATTATCACACAAAATTTATTCCTTTTTTAAAAAATATTTAAGGCTAATATAATTACAAAATCTTTAAAATATCCTTAAATCTGATTAATGCTGCATTTATAATAAGCGCGATTGCTCAGACTATGCGAAATTAATCTCCGCATAAATTACAAAAGCAAACCAATAAATAGATTTTATTTTTAAATACCAAGCAAAATAATGAAAATGCGGCAGCGGTTTACTTATATTTCAAAAGTATTTAGCTGTAACGAATCAGCTGAATTTTTCTAGCGATTAATTTGTCATTGCTTGAGAAAATCGCACTTTCTATAAATGCAGCGTAACACTTCCTGGAAAATGAAAGAATAAACTAGCTATCTTTAACAAAAATAAACAACACTATAGTTAGTATTTAAAACTTAAGTAGGCTTAAAGAACATTATGAATAATTAAATTTAAAAGAAGAGGACGGTGTAATACTACATACATTATATAATATTTTTTTTTAAATAATAAATTCTATAGTAAAGGATTTAAAAATTATAATATTACTTATAAGCACGTCGCGTTATAATACTTAATTTATTTCCCCCAATTTGCGCAATATAAAATAAGTTATATATATTTTTTTACTATATTTTTTATTTTACAGAAATTGAGCTTTTTTTATTTATAATTGTTGTAAATTTTAAAAATATTATATTCTCCTATTTGCATTTTTTTTGTGTAAGTAAAAAAATATATATAAATTATTTAGTAATTTTTGAAATTTAAAATAATTCTTTATACATATGAAATCCACATCCTTTAATATAAATTTATATAATAATTATAAAATATTTATTAATACAGCAGAAATGAAACCTGATATATTTTTTTATCGTGAAAATGGAATATTTTTGAAAAATGAATGGTAATTGCGGTAATTATATTATTTTCTTAAAATACTATTTTCCTATAAAAAAATTAAAAAGGTATAAAAATAACATTTCGGTAGAATGTTCTAGGATTTCCAGGGATCCGAACCGAAAAATTTCTAGCTGAACCGAACCGCTAAAATGCCTCTGAACCGGTTCAAGCCTCTGAACCGGTTCAAGCCTCATGATTTTATTCTTATAAAATAATATGTAAGTTTATTAGTATATTGAAAAAATTTCAATTATATTCGAATTATTTTAAAGACTAGCATCAATCACATTTGAATGATAAGTGTCGGTCATAATTTTTATAAACTTTAGTATATTGTCATTTTAAAACATTTTTTAAATATTTTAAGCTTATAAATTATAATATTTAGAGAAAAATTAAATCCAAAATATTATTATAAATGACACATAAAATCTGATATCATATTGGCAGTGTCGGCTACCTAAGTTAATGTGGAAAGATGTTTTTTAACAATTAAATTTATATTATTTCCTTATAGATGTAATTTGAGTGAGACGAATTTCGAAAATATATTATTTGTGCGGCTTAATAAAAAATTTTTATGTAATTCATATTTAAATTAATCATTGATATTTATTTGTTATATTTATAAATTAAATGTTATTTTATAATGTGCAATTAATAAAAATGAAGGTTTTTTTATTTTAATTATGAAATAAAAAAATTTTTCCCCTATACATAAGTCGAATGTAGGTTTGAATACAAAAACATTCACACCGGTTTTTAGAGGTTCAAACCGAACTGATATTTAGATTTTTACGAGCCGAACCTGAACCTTTACCCGTTATTTTTATCAGAACCCGAACCGATATTCGTTTCGGTTTGGATCCCTGGATTTCTCTGATTTGTAAAATCTAGAATGGTTGCCATAGTATTTGAAACCAAAAATTTACAAATATATATTTTTTTTAAATAAAAAATGGTTTCCATTATATTTTAAAGTAAAAAGGTATGTATGTGATATTGTTTAATACAAAACAAAATGAATATCATCTCTTGCGGGCATAATATATGCATATGCACCGTATTAGACTTTGGTAAGTACCTAATATATATATATATACTAGTCAAACAATAAATAACATTTTATAACACTAAAAATATTTTCCATAATCATAAAAATATAAAATCTTATAGGTCTAAAATAAATTCTTTAAAAGTTTTTTTTCTTAAATAATGCAAGCTGTCATTAACAACTTCTTTAAAAAAATCGAGTCAAACGTCTCCAACAAATCTAAATCCTTCGACCCTAATCGTCCAAATTTTGGACTCAATTTCTATCACTCCCCCAGGGCTTCTTGTTATGGGAAAGGTCTGATTATTTGCAGAATGACATGTATATCTAAATGTTTTAAAAAATACATAATGGAGATGAGATATTATATTTAAGAAGGAAATAAACAATATTATATGTTTTATTTGCATTCCTATCTAATAATAGGTATTAAAAACGTAAAATCTCTGTTTTTAAAAAAAAAAAAAATTTTGATTAATTTTATTGTCATGTTAGGCCAAAATATAGAAAAATTAAATAATCCCGTTTTTGTAAAAATTATTTTTAAATTTTGCCCTGGTTTGTAAAAAAAAATTATTTAATTTTTAAATCTGGGCCCGATTTTAGAATACTATTTGACCGGCCAGGATCAGCTCTCTTATTTTTATAATAAATATATTTTTAATTTTTATTAAAAAAATAAAAACTATAATTTAAGCTACAAAAAAAATACCTATAAGTATAAAATTTATCACGATTAGATTACGAAATATATACCGATACATAAAAATGTAGCTAGATATGTACCTATACTTTTTATAAAAGAATGTAGAATTTAAAATTAAAATCATGGTCCAAGTTCAGGTCAAAAATAAATTTAGAAAACTCCGGGACAGACATGTTAAAAATTTTCGATGATTTTTATATGTTTATTATTTTTCTAAATGTAAACAAGAAAGCTAACATGAAACTATATAAAATTTCGAACCAAAATAATTTTATGAAGAACATAATTGGGTTCTTAAATAGGAACAATAGTTAATTTTTAAAAAGTTTATTTGAATGTTCTGCCTAATGAATAAGAATTTGTAGGTTCAAATGTTTGTAATTTAATTTTGTGATTTAATTTTTTTTAAAAACTGCAAACTGTCTGTTAGTAGAAGCTGCAATTGGCAAGAATATGAAATAAATTTCTGGGGCATTTGTATTTATTAATTTTTTTAGTCTGCTAGAGTAAGCATATTTCTAATATTGGTGGGGTGAACTCATAATCATAAGAGATGCCTATGGCCCTGCGGCTAATGGTCAGGCCTTAATCCGTCATCTGTTGATAGATTGCTAGATTCTATAATATTAGGTATACAAGCCTTTTTTCAAAAGAGGCTTAATAATTTATTTATCGAAGATTAATATTTTATAATAAAAATTTTATGATACATATTAGTAGGTCATAGGTGTGGCCAGGATTTTTCTGGATGGAGAGGGACATACTTTTTGTGGATTTATGTCTATATATTTTACTGTAGTACATTAGGCCCAATTAGTGCAGACCCTTAGTCGCACTACACAGGATTGTGAATCAGCTAAAATTTTAGGTCGGGTTCTGAGGAAAAAAAACAAGAGACGGATTTGGTTCGATTTTGGAACCTGAAGTCGGATTCGGCTCATTATAAAAGAAATTTTTTTTTTTGAAAAAAATTATTCACGTTCTAACTTAACATAATTTAAAAATAAAAACTCTGCCCTATATTTTAATTTATCCCAATTTTGGAAATTCAAACAACATAAAGTCTTGATTAAATTTAAATAGTGAAAAAAAAAGGTTTATAAAATTAGAAAAAATTTAATCGAGGAAACATGTCATTTTTCTAAATGATTTTTATAATAAATATAAATCCTGAAATCACTTAAAAAATTTTTATATTCGGCAAAAGAAAATAATATTTTTAGATATAATAGTAGTTTTTCCTGGGGACACAATTTAGTATTGTAAACTTTATCCAAATAATTTTAATATTAAATACAATGACCCGCTTTGAATCCTATTTCAAAAAACAAAACCGATTTTGTTTCGGGTTTGTACAACTTTCCTAAACAGAGTTCATGGTTCGATTTAAGGACAGAAAATTTTTTCTAATAACCCTGGTTCAGCTATTCCGGGTTTAGGTTCGGGTTTCAGAATTTTTAAAAAAATTAATAAGGGATTCATTTCTATTTACAAAAATTGTCTTTGCTAGAAAATTTTATTTAAATATTATTATTAAACTAAAATTATTAACTTATAGTAGGCGAGACTGGGGTTAGGTAAACTCGGGGCTTGGGCAAACACTTAATCTCATTTTAAAATTAAATAAACTAGTAGGATTAAATTTTATCCTAAGCTTTCATTAGTATGCATCTATAGGCAAAAAATCTTTGATATAATTAATTATTAAAAATTTTATTTAAGAAATAAAATTTTGATGTAAATTTCAAAAGATTTTTACATTGACATTATTTTAATTTTTATTAAGTTATATAATCATTCATATAAAAATTTAATTTTATAACAAAATTTTAACCCTCTT